GTCGAGCAACCAAACAATTACTTGTGCACATAAATCGGTGGCCCGATCTGGAGTCAGGTAGGAGTGGTCTGTTATTCACTTGCACTTTCGTTTCAATATTACCGACCATACTTCTGGCAACCCAAGCCAGAGCTCCGGAGGTCGGAATTTCAAATATCTTTGCAGGTATAAGCACTCATGAAAATAATCGTCTTGAGATTCCGAAATTTTTCTTTAAATCAATGAAGTCGTATGGTACTTGATTTAATCGATCGACATTTAAGACCATAAGTTGGCTTGCCAACTTTGATTAGAATCCTTCAAAGAACACGTTTTCGCCTAAAATTTTTTGACATTCAACCTACTCCAACGTATCTAAATACATATTTATGGTGTTATGATTCCATGTGGAGATAGCCTAGGAAATTATGTAATCATTACAGCATTTAAATTATGTTATTGCCTGTTCGTTTTCAAGTCTAAACTTGACGCTGGTCTGCATCTAAAGGAGAATATACGGGGGTGCTACAAAAATTGCAGAGCGCTGAACGGGGGCGAGTTTCTTATGTGCTTCAATATAGATTTTAGATGATTTTCTGTGGCGCCCATAATGAGTTCCAATATTATAAAAAATATATATGTATAATACTTGCAAGAAGCTTTGTAGTTTTATGCCCACCCTATGTATTTATAAGTTCGAAATATTGAACAAATTTATTGGGTCCGTGTTCCAAATTTACAAGTCATGTGGGAGGGTTTTGTGGGCTTGGATCGTCATTTACCCATGCATCAGCGTTATCTGGCGCTAATCAGATGCGTCCACATGGGTCATTAATTCAAGTTTGGGAACCTGTAAAGCTGCACCGACTCCATCGATATATTCATGGCGTATCATACCTCTTTAGTAGCTGCGCAACTTGACCGTGAAATTAAATTCGGACTACGTGTAGCTATTTCCGTTTTGTAAGCGAGTTAATTTGCGTTGTCTTTGAGCGATGATTGCTGTAATTTCTCCGCAATCCACAAGACTGTCAATACCAGTATCTGACTTTGACCCTATTAGAGTAGGTAATATGTTTACTTTTCATACATACATATGTATGCATGAGCTTTCGCACCAAAACATTCATAGGTGTAACAGATGATGTGTGAAAAACGGATGGGATTCAAATTAAACAAGAGAGAACGTTCGACGGCCTCGACTATCATACACCCATTACTCAGCTAATGCAAACTTGCGTTGCTTAAGAGCACCTAGAATCTCTACGCTTGATCCCAACATTCTAGCCTTATAGCTTCCGAGATCTCAGGGTTCATACGGACGGAAATATCTGTACTTTAAAGGTCTGAAACGCTTCTTATAACTTTTAGTCCTCGTGTAACGGGTATAAAATTATTTTTTTTTACTTCTATGGTAGGCGTTCACTGTGTTATTAGTATATTAATTACGCATATGATTTGAAAATGGAAGACTACAAAATCCCGTTAATCTTTGTAAGTGACTTTTTTGTCAATAATTACTTTGTTCAAGGATGTACACTTTGTTCAACCGACCGACACGTGCCGGACTTTGAACCTGTATCGAGAATCGACAATTAGTAAACCCCATCGGCCCGCCCACTCTACGCCCCCAGATCTGGCTTGTGAGGAACTAATGATTGACAAAGGGTCACATTTGCATTTCCTTGCGAGAGAACAGAAATCGAATGAAAAGAAAGTAGCGAGCGCGTAGAATATAAAAACGTATTTCCAGTTGGCCAAGTTTTGGGGCAGACTGGCTGGTTGACTGACCAGTCCAGAAATTAGGCCTCGAGCATGCAAGTAACGGTTTTTCGACTTCGAGCCGTTCTCTCTCCGCATTGATCGGGCTCTTCTCGTTTCCCGTTCGGCTGGCCGGGGATCCCCGCACTTGTTGCATGCGGCACAGTTTCGCAAGCGGAAAGAGCTTCCGTCGGCAAGGTGTCTGCAGGCGTTTGCAACCCCGTCGACAAGGGTGACCCATCCACATCAACACCGGAAAGCGAAAGTGGTTTTGGCGGCGCTCTAATGGCCCACAGCCAACTGGCCAACTCGCCAGCTAGCCAAATCCGATGCATGGCTAGAAATGGCCAACTGGCCAACGAGCTGTCGCGTCAGTCGCTGTTACATCAGCCGTCTAACTGTTGCCGCAGAAGATGGCGACTTGCCACGGAAAGCAGAAAAGCAGAAAACAAAAACCCCGCTTCAATCTCCCTGCGTGTTTTTCTCGCGTTCTCCGCTTCCACTGGCATACAGCAACGGTCAATCAACCATGTCATTTCGACTGTGGTTTAATCTTTGCACGGCAGTACCATTTTTTATGTACAATTTTACGGAAATGTAAAGAACGTTTCCCCAAACTGAACCTGTTAAAACTACTAGCTTTAAAGGAGAATTTATATTTAGTGCCATGTGTTAAAAATATATAAGATGAAAGACTCCAGAAAACAATTTAGTGATTTTGAATACGAATCTATGAATTTATATGTAAAGCAAACGTTCTTAAAAATGTTCCGACTCGTAGTTTAAATTTTTAAAACGAACGTTCTTAGAACAAGAATCATTCGTACTTAAATTTAAAACGCAATCAGAAAAATCTTTTTTTTTAGGGTGGTTAAGCTTTTAAAGGCATTTGTAAGGAAAGGCCCCAAATTCGAATCATTGACACGGTTGTTCCTGATTTTACTTTTAATTAAAAGTTTGTCCTAGCTTTTTTTATATTTATGTGTTTCTATTTTTTATTTACGTTTTACAATTTTTAATACAAATGTTTAATTGATAATACCTTCAATTGGTATACTAGCCTTTTGGCCGGAAGAATCGTGCGCGGTCGAGTTCGTTGATGCGTTAAGCTAGAAATTCGAACTATAATTTATGTCTTAACAAAAAGTTTTTTGGTATACAAAAAATGTAAACTTGTTAAACTGTAAAAATAAGTTCATTTTCAACTAAAGGTTTTATTAAAAATGTTGAGTACAAGTAGTTTTTAAACTAAGAACAGTTCGTTCTTAAAACAGTATTGTGTCGTACTTATGTGGAGTCATTTTTACACCCGTTACTCTTAGAGTAAAAGAGTATACTAGAATGTATCGGAATGTATGTAACAGGTACAAGAAAACGTTACCGGCGTTATAAATATTATTGATCAGGATCACTAGCCGAGTCGATCTAGCCATGTCTTTCTGTCATTCTGTCTGCCCGTCCGTACTAACGCTGAGATCTCGGAAACTATAAAAGCTAGACAGTTGGAAGATTTTAAAGATTATTACACAGCGCAAGTTTATTTCAGCAGAGTTCCACGTCCACAGTTACTCCAACAAACTCCCATAACGCTAAAACATATCTAGCGCTTACATTTTTGAATATTTTGTAAAAGTGTTAATTACAATTGATTTTATTGATAAATTCTTATATAAATGCAGAGAATTGTACCAATAAACAGGCTTTAGCATGGTAAGTAGTACCGCTACCGTCCGCTAGGTGACTCGGAGCTGGCATGTGTGCTAGTAAAAATGCCGTTCGAATTTTTGTATTTCATTATTAAAACAGAGTGAAGGGTATCTGATAGTAATTTCATGTTGTTATTTTTTTAATAGATTTCTTTCCATGTCTCTTCTGCTTTTCTAATGTATTAGGCACTGTAATTATAAACTTACATATGTGGCTATTATATACACATGTTTAAAGATTCGTGCGGACCAGACCAGTTAAAATTTTTTTGTAACTTTCCAGTTTAGATCATGCTGGGAGAATAATTACAATAAAGTAATATGTACATGCAACTAATTGCTGACATGACAATGCCAATGGCAAGGGTATGTTATACCTTTATACAACTGAAAATGTGAAATATTTACAGATTTAGTTTATTACATTTATAAACAAATATGTTGTACATCTGAATCACATTCCTAAGAAAGCTAAATTTTTTTTTGTAAATCCAAAGAAAAACTCTTCGGTTGGAAAAATAACGCTATAGTCGAGTGCCTCGACTATCAGATACCCGCTAATCAGCCAAAGGGAGTGTGGGGGAGATATGCAAACAGTGAAGCGACAGTTTCGACTATTAAATACCCGTTAGCCTATAGTGTCATCTAGCCTATAGAGCAAACTAGCTTATAGCGCTCCTAGCGGCTTGTTCGCGTATTAGTGAAAACAACTGATTTGCTGCAAGTGGTGTGCAATCACGATTGAACTGCTGATTATTATTTGGTTATATCATTTAAATGACTGATCCGATTTTAATAATTTTTGGCTTTTAGATGGGTATTGATAATAAAATCAAAATCTCATTAAAATTTTTAAAAAATAATAAAACTTTCTCTGCGCAGGAAGCCCAAGAATCTGCATGCCAATTCCAAACATAATAGCTCTTATAGTATCCGAGATGTCAGCGGTCAGACGGACATGGCTAGATCGACTCGGCTAGTGATCTTGATAAAGAATACATATACTTTTTCGACGAATCTAGTAATAGTCTGGTCTATATCGACTCGTCTAGTAGTTCTGATCAAGAGTCTGTCTTTCACTGCGTTGCAAGCTTTTGACTTAATTTATAAAGCCCTATGCAAGGGTATACAAATTTGCGCTTGCTGCCTGCCAGCGAAATCTATTATCGCAGGTTAAAGGAAATCGGGAATTTCATAAGCGGGGCGCCCGACTTTACCGTTCTTTCTTTTTGATTCCAAAGTAGTGTCTTGAAAATGTTCCACTTGTCCATTTTACCTTGCATTTTCGCCAGTTGTGGAATGTGGACTTTGCCTTTTTGCCAGTGCATGGTGCTAGTTTATTCACCGGCGCTGTGCATAAATACATAATTTGCAATGTAAGCGCGGCTCGGCCACAAACATGAGCCGAGACGAAGCCCGGCCAGGCCATCTTTGATCGGCGGAGTGGAGCGCTGCGTCAGTTGTATTTCTGGCACGCTGGCCAACGGTTCACGAAGCGGCTTGTGTCTGCCGCCGGGCTCTCGACCACTCTCGCGCCGCATCTGGCATTGTGCCTGTGATAAGCCCAAGCCCTTTCCGCGGTCACTGGACACCCGTACCCGATACTCCGTGCGCGATACCAGACACCCGATACCCGGCTCCCGATTCCCGATTCCCGATACTCGATTCCCCCGCAGCCCTGTGGGTGCAGGGCGTGATTCACAGTTAAGCCTTATAATCGTTTTACTCGTGCGCGCACTGATCGATTCCACTTCGTCGAGTCGCCGAAGTTCCGAAATTGACGGTTGTCGCCACCGCCGCCTGATAAGGTTCAGACGCACATCCGACCAGCCGTCAGTTGGCTTAAAAGCGTGCGAGGCGGAGCATCGCGTAAACGGAACAGCCGATCGATCGACCCAGTTGCCAAATAACCGATTACCGATTAGCCAAGCGGCGAAACCCATGCTGATTGACCAAGTGAGTGCCCCGTGTGCGGTGTGTGTGCTGGCCTTGCCGAGTGACTGTGATTAGATAACGAACACCCTCCTAATTAGAAACCCAAGCAAGTGCTGGGTCCAAAGCGCCAGTGTTCCAGCGCTGGCCAGCGAAACTCCAGTCGAAAACAAAATAAATAAATGCGAGCGGGCGGGGGGCAGGCGAGTTGAGTACTGACAAAAAAGGAGGCAGGTGCGTGGCCCAATCTAATGAACCTCGGTCTTAGACAATCGCGTTGTATAATCGCCCCCAGTGCGCTCCAAAACGTGACGGGACTCCCACCGATTCGAAGACGCAAGTTGATAAAAACTGCTCACTTTTGGCCGGCTTATCGCCGAATCCAATTAGCCGATCGCCCAGATGGATCTGGCCATACGGGGTCGGGGTCTCTGGCCCGCTGATAAGGGGACAGCATGCCGACTCATTCCCGCCGATTGTCGGCTATCATTGTGGGCCTATCTCTACCTTGCGGGAGATTAAAACGCTGGCCGTGACTCACTGATTGGCTGCACTCCTTGCTCATCGTGGGCCGCGCTTATCACCCAGCAATGCGTCACCCCCGCTTCCGTCGAGGAACGCTGGTCCGCAGCCACCGGCGCTCCGGCGCATCGATTTTCCACTTAATTAGGTTTTCTATGCGAGCGAGTGCCACGGAAAACCCGGTCATCGCCGGGACATCTACATACAGACGCCCCGGGGTGACCGGCGATAAAATCAGCAAACTCATCAAACTATTTACGCCGTTTTGCCGTTCCGTAGCTGCAGGGCTGGTTGCGCTGGCCCGGGGGAGGAGCCGCTCTAATTGATTTCAGAAATGCAAGCTACTGCAGAGCCCATCCGTGTGGGCAATGGCGTGCAGGCAGCAGCCCCGAACTCCCAAACCCCCAACGCAGGCTATTATGAGCCCAGTCTGCTGGCACGGCCTTGAGGGCTGGGCGGTGGGTGGGCAGACAGTGGGGCCGGAAGAGCAACAGGCGGCTCTGGGGCTCGCCGTTTACTCGGCACCAAACCAGGCGACACTCGGCAGGGCGTGTGCCCAAACACAGGTTCCCGCTTGTTTGTTTGCCGATCCATGCTTGGCGTATCTTGCATCTTCTGGGCCCTCGTCGAGTGGCTTACATAACCGAGGGCGCCGCCTCCTATTCCAGCTATTTCCAGCTAGCCAGCTGGTGCTGGTGGCTGTTGGGCTGAGGCCCATCCCTCGGCGGAAGCGTCATCGCAAGGGTTTCATAATTTATGCAAATCAAACAGCGAAATCGCAACCCAGCCGCCCGCAGTCGTCGCACCTCGCGGATGCTGTGCCTCCGGGCGAGGCCGCCTGGCAAAGCGTGCCACTGACCCACACTGCGAGCAGCACAACACCAACAACCACTCACCGGTTGCGACAGCAGCGAATTTCGCGCTGGCTGAGGCAACGCAGCGGCAGCGGCAGCGGCAATAAAGCGGCACATTTTTGTCAACGGTTATTGAGCCAGTTGCACAACTCTTACGTGTCCATCGGCATCGTCATCGCCATCGCCATCACCATGGCCAGTTTATTGTTCATGACATTCAAAAAACAACCTGAATTGGCCGCAACTTACCCGTTCAAATGCCTTTGGCTGGCCAGCGGTGGGAAGCATCTGGAAAGATGTGTCTGAATTCGTAGTCCAGATAGAGTCTCACAAAGTTCAAAGTAACCGTGATAGTTTTTGCTTTCCATTACTAAATAACAGTTTATTTATTTATTTGCCAATTTAAAAGAACTTTATCATACCAAATAGTTGATCAACACCAAAAGATAAAGTCGGGTCTTGAAATACCGCAAAACAAATCTAAAGGTCCTCACACATCGAACTTAAAAATGTATTAACGGTCGGTTTTCTAAAACCGAAAGTAACATTTTCTATCGTAAAATCTTCTATCGCAATGTTCTGATTCTGATTTATCGTATACTCTTTGCAGTAGAACATTAATAGTCGGAAAAATGTAATATATATATGTATATAATATAACTAAAAAAATTCCACCTGTCCCATCGACGAGTTTGTCTCGGCTTTCGCTGGATGTCGTTCGATGCCCCGTCCGGCAAATCAATTGAAATTCATAAGACTGTGTGGCGAGAACCAGAAACTGGCCGCGCCGGTGGCGTGCTTGAACTCGCTGAACCCGCGATAAGATCGAAGTCGGAATGGGTTGCGCCCACTGAGCTGGAATATGGAATCCGCTCGGCGGTACAAAGTGCAGTCTTTGTCCAGTTAGCGGCATCTTAATTGCTCCGGCCAGCAAATAGCAGCTCGCATTGTGCAAGTGGCCAAGTCACGCCCCTCATTACCGCCTCCGCTGGGCCGCCGTGCCTGTCTATAATTTCCTGATCTGAAGTGTTGATTAACGGGCGAATTGTTAATTGCATGAATCTCACTTTTTAATGTGTTTTGCCTCTAATGCATTGGCAATTACACTGTCGTGTGCTTAGCATATTGGCTACACTAAGATATAGGTATATATAATCCCATTCGCAGACTGGTGTTCCGCGAAATACGACAGGTTCAGCGCTATTACCCTTTGGAAATTTTAGGGGTCATAAGTTGGCTGTGACTTAAACACAGCTTGGGCATCAGTTATTTAAATTCCTCAAATATGCATACCTTTTAGTAAACATCACTATTTAATTTCCATTACAGTTCGGCTTTGAACCATAAGTTAGACCGACTCTATTGCTAGCATCACAGAACCAACAAAAATACGCGACAACAAAATGGCAATCATACTGCAAGAAGCCCAGGAGTGGTATCGGGACCTCATGGACAATAAGAGCGGTACGGCCGATACAGGAAATATGAGTTAGAACTCTTATAATAGCGCCTATATTTTCCAGATCCTCGCGTAAACAACTTTTTCCTGCTATCCTCGCCACTGCCCACACTCGCTATGTGCATATTCTATGCCTACTTTAGTAAATCTCTGGGACCAAGGCTTATGGCCAAACGAAAACCAATGGAGCTGCGATCAGTGTTAGTCATTTACAACGCGATACAGACGATATTTAGCGCGTGGATCTTCTATGAGGTAAGTAACTCCTGCCGCTTTTGGGCCCTGTTCTTAGTTCAATCCGCCTCTCTTCCATTGCAGTACTTAATGAGCGGATGGTGGGGTCATTACAGCTTAAAGTGCCAGCCCGTGGACTACAGCACTAGTGGCCTGGCTATGCGGGTAAATTCGCCCCAAGGATTGTCCTGAGAAAGTAAACTTAAATTCTATTCCGAATAGATGGTGAACATTTGCTGGTGGTACTACATATCGAAGTTCACAGAGTTCTTTGACACACTCTTCTTCATTCTGCGAAAGAAGAACGAGCACGTCTCTACACTGCACGTCATTCATCACGGCTGCATGCCCTTCTCTGTCTGGATGGGTCTTAAGTTTGCACCAGGTACGTATTAACATCGCGTCAGGGATAGCAAATCCACAACTCATTAATTTGTTCACCTGCAGGCGGTCACAGCACATTCTTTGCCCTCCTCAACTCGTTTGTGCATATTGTGATGTATTTCTACTACATGATTGCCGCCATGGGTCCGAAATACCAAAAGTTCATTTGGTGGAAGAAGTACCTGACCACCTTCCAAATGGTAGGCCTAAATACCCCCTTCGCCTGGCAGACCTCTAATTTTCTATTGTCTTTCAGGTTCAATTCGTGGCCATTTTCACGCACCAGTTCCAACTTCTGTTCCGCGAGTGTGACTACCCCAAGGGCTTCATGGTTTGGATAGGACTACACGGCGTGATGTTCCTTTTCCTCTTCTCCGACTTCTACAAAGCCAAATATCTCAACGCAGCTCGACGGCGCCGGCAAGCGGTCAAGGCCAATGGGCATGCCAATGGCCTGCATTCAAATGGGCACAGCAAGCATGTCGGAGAGGGGGACACCCTGGTCGCCAACGGCAGCAATACGGGGGCTTGTATGGTAGGTCATCGCGTCACCGCGGATCTGCGGCGAGATTGGAGGACATTAGGGCAGCCCTTGAGTGCCATTAGTAGGGGCTGTGCAAACATATTTACTTGACTTACCCAAGGCCCTGACGACTCGACACAACCAAGATGCGAAATCGGAAGAGTCGAGGCGGTGTGGGCAGTTGTATCATCATAGCTTTGTTGATCAACTTAAAATTCTAACTAGCTAAGTTAGGCAAACAGCACTTGCGAACTCTCGGCACAGGCGGGGGACGTTTCAATTAGCGCTCACATGTGAAGCCGGATGCGAAGGCCCAGGTCCGATCTCAGCCCCAATCCCAATCTGCTGCCCATTAGAAAAGCACACAAATGAGCATTTGCTGGCGGCACACACGTGCCTTCGTCCATTGGAGTCTGAACCCGAACTCATTGAGCTATCTGTTTTCTCTTTCCAGCCTGTGATGGAGGACGAGTATGTCAAGAGCAACGGGCACGCGAATGGTGCCTACAAGGACGGCTTTTTCAAGGAGGGTGTGTTATCCAACAACGATGCCATCTTCAACCCGGACAGCAGTAGTTCTAGTCTGCACCAGCGCAAAGTCAAATAACTACTGATTAGGTGTACTACGATGATATTCATTATGTTTATGTTAAGTGTTTAGCGTGTAACTGAACCCGATTGAAGAACAAGTCAAACAAGAAACTTGGCAGAAGTAGCAGATGCAGTATGACAATTGGCACCACAGCAAGGCAACATCAGGAGAACTCGGTTTTTGAATTGTTTTTAGTAATTTATATTTTAAATACGAATAATACATAAAATCAGTTATGTCGAAAGTCATTCGGATGAGCCGAATCTTACCGAACAAACGCCACCTATGCCCACCCACCCGAACCGTCAACTAAAGCTAAGTAGGAGAAGCGGCAGCACAAACTAAGAGATAATTGAACCCTTTTATAAACATTTTCTACGGCACCAGTTTACAAGTCTCTTTTGAAACACAGATACAATCACTCATACGCAGAGAAAAGTTATTTTTTGAACGATATTTATATAGCCATTGAAGCGTGTTCTAAACTAGCGTCACATACAGTTTACCATTTTTAGTGTAGCTTACTGCATACAAAAACCTGCAAAATGCATACATACTCACTCTAGGTGTACACTTTTTATGGCAATTTTTGATAACAAATCGAGACGTTATGATAAACGATAGCTAAACATGCTCTCTTAAGTCTGCTTTAAACTTAAACAACACGTTATACTATTTGTAGCTTGTTTTGTATAATGAGAGGACCGCAAGTTTGTTGGAATTCATTGCAGAGGTCTAATAGTAAAAGATATATATATATATTGTAGCTAGCTAGCCAATTGCAAAGTGTAACACGACCCAGACCTCTCCATAGCCTTACTAGGCTTTAAATTTTAAATTTAAATTTAAATTTTAAAGTTTAAATCAATTTAACGGACGACCGGACGAAAAAACACTATAGGTAGGCAAAACAGAGCAACAAAGAACACATGGAGATAAAGCTTTTATACTGTAAGTGCAAAACGGCTTAAGGAGCAGACAATCAGTTTAGGCGTTGATTGTCAACAAATAGAAGAATCTAAACAAAAGTTTTCAACAATTCACATTTCATTGAACCTCGTTTGGTGTGGCTCATATACGATACTTTATTACTACTTATACAATATCCCTTTGTTCCCACTTTTGGTTTGAAGTTGTTAAACGGTTTTATTTCAGAGATGTGAGAAGTATTTCTGACGAATTATTTGTAAGTGTAATTCTGTCTGTTAACCTGTGCGTATTGGTTTCATTGTTAAGTTATGTGGTTAAAGCTGACAAGTTCAAAAACTATGGAAAACCTGAATAAAGCTTATTAATTTATACTAAAACTCCAAGAATATATTTTTATAACGTTGACGGACAATTTCCATTTAAATTTGGAATGCGGGAAAAATTGTTCACATCCTTGGGACAGTCTCACAAAATTATACAATTATTTTATTACTTAAGAACATAGTGTACACGGTAATTGTTAATAAACTAATACATTTTGTCCAGATGTTTTTATAACTGATAATTAGAGTCTAAACGGTCTTTGCAGGTGTGGCAAAAGGCACATTTTGTAAGCTCTATTGGGATTGGAAATCGCGATGCAACAAGTTTGTTTCCGAGCTTAACAACGCTTCTTTCTACCCCGGAAATTAGGACCCACATAGGGTCTCATACACTTGTCAAATTATATCTTTGATTAATTTTTAGATAGGGGTGTAGTGAACCATAACAAAACAAAAGGGGGTCTATTTTAAACAACCTTTTTTGAAATATCCTTCTGAATAAAAAAACAAGAAAGGAAGCTAACTTCGCCAAATAGAAGTTTCTTTACCCTTGTCGGTCGTTCCCATTGGAGCACATATGCTCTTGCCACTAATTTTCCAATCCATACGGAAGCTTTATAATATAGTAGTCCCATTTTAATTAAATTAAATTTGTATATATGCTATATACCAGAGTAGAAGAAAATATGATCAAAAATATTGAAGCTATAATTTTTGTCCTATATTCAAATTAATTAGCCGATTGTTCCTATGGCAGCTATATGATATAGTCGGTCAATTTTTTTGAAATTTCATTTAAAACTCTAAAATATTAAAAAAAATAAAATGTCAAAAAAAAAAAAAAAAAATTTTTTTTGGATTTTTCCTAATGGAACTAAAAATATAGTTGTCCGATTCGGATCGTTCTGCCTTTTCGGTCAATCGATAGATATTGACGAGACTAATGCATTTGTGGGCGTAGAGGGGGCGTGGTATATTCGCGTAGCAAACTTGCGCTGCGTACATAGCACCGAATCTAAATCTGAAGTCGCTATTCTCTATCTTTGATAGTTTCCGAGATACTCACGTTCATACTTACGATTTTTGGAAGTTTGTGGTTGGTTTGTGGTCGTGGCATACTTTTTTTTGGGTCAGTCGATAGGTATTGCCGAGATTAAATCATTTCAGTCAAGACTTTATTTTTAGCATGAACATTGTGGACGCGACATTTTTGCGCGGTTTGCGGGCGTTAGAGGGGGCGTGGCATGTTTGCGTAACAAATGTGCGCTGCGTATAAGGATACGGAATCTAAATATGAAATCCCAATTCTCCGTCCTTAATAGTTTCCAAGATATCCGCATTCCGAATTTGAAATTAAAATTTTTTTAGTATTTCACCTTTAATAGTTTTCAAGATAACGCGTTCATACGGATAGATCGACTCGGCTAGTGATTTTGATTAAGAATATATATTCTTTATGGGGTTTACCTGTTACATACTTTCCGACGAATCTAGTATACCCTTTTAATCTACGAGGTAGGGGTATAAATATTGAAAATGACAGTTGGGCTCGTCCTTAAACTTAAGCGCTTTCAAAATTATTAAGCATCTAAAACAGCGGTCGACACGGATTACAATGACATTTTCTATTCCCTATGCCCTCCTAATGGCACGCTAATCTAAAAAAACTACTCGATTTTCGTAATACAATTAATCTTTCTTGTTAAATAAAATTAGCCAGAATGCTATATTCGTGTGCATCGCGCCATTTAGCAGCGATTCCATTATTTTCTCAACATTTTTCAATGAAAGGTTCGAGTTGAACAATTAATACTTACATCAAAATCACATGTACACTTCAACAAAATCTTTAAGGATTTGGCGCTAGACACAATTTATCGTTGTAGGCGCTTGTGTTTAAAAACTTCTGATATCAAACAAAAACACAGCTTAAAGAGGTAAATCAAGGAAGGACGCTATAGTAGAGTGCCTCGACTATCACATTCCCTTTACTCAGCTAAATGGATCAAAAGGGAGATGGAGATATTCAAACAGCAAAGCGAGATTGTAAGGAGCCATCTACTCGCGATTTCAATATATAGTCATGTGGGCTGCAGACAGACCTAAGCGTTATGGGCGTTTTATTTTTTTGGTCATTTGATAGGTATTGACAAATCCAATATATTTCAGGTGACATTTTTTTCTAGCACTTAAACTGTAGGAGCCACACTTTTGTGGAGTTTGAAGGCGTAAGAGTAGGCGAGGCACATTAGCGTAACAAAGCTAAGGAATCCAAAATCTCTAGCTTTGATAGTGTCCGAGATATCAGCGTTCATATGGACGACTTTTGAAGTTTGCTGTTTGTGGGCGTTAGAGTGGGCGTGGTAACGAGAGCAACACATTTTAAATTTAATTTATTTCTAGCTTTAAAATTGTAGGAGCCACAGTTTTGGGCGGTTTGTGGACGTTTATGACATATTCGCGTAACAATGTGCGCTACATACGAGGCTAAATCTGAAATGTCAATCTAGTAGCTCTTATATTTTTTGAGATCACAGCCCCTCTAGATTGACTCGGCTAGTGATCCTGATCAAGAATGTTTGTACTTCGTGGGGTCGGAAACGCGTCCTTCTACCTGTAACATACTTTTCCCGAATAAAATATACCCTCTATACCCGATCGCACATTCTACATATAAAAGTTATGATTTCAACTTTTGTGACGAAAAACGATTTTACATTTGTCAAAATAAATATTATATCTAAAATGTACTTATTCGGAAGCTTAAATATTTAGCATGCCGGAACTTATAATATCCAGTTTTGTACCTGTGTGCATAGTAAACAATAGCCTAAACAATCTGAAACCATTTTTAAGTTAAAATAATCTTTATTTTGAGTGTAGTTTTGATCTACACAAATAAACTTTGCAAAACGTGCCAAACAACCGAAAAAGCTCATAACAATGCAGTTTGCCACTGGTTTAACATAGAAATTGGCAATTACTTAATACACTAATTATGGGCAAACAAAGCTCACCAGTAGGTGGCGACAGCTGGGCTGCGAGGGTTAATATTTGACAGGCACTTGACCTTGTCGGCTCTGGACACTAACCGCAGCAGTTAGAGGAGGCGGGATGTTAGCCAAGTTGACATAACTAAATGCATCGTAATGCACGAGGAGATTCGCTGGCGTATTTAGAGCTACGACTGAGCTTCTCGAGGGCACTCAAGCTGTTGTTGGGTAATTCTCTGTCCACTTTGGCACGCGCCCTTGTGCAGTGGTCAAGTATTGAAGTCTGATCAATTATATTATTTCGTGTGATGATTTTTTCTTGTTCTATATTGCGAAGATATTGAAATCTACCCCAGCATCTACCACGGCTCGACAGAAATTGTTCAATCCGATTGAACTGTAGTGAAACTGAAACACCGGGACACTTAACATTTTGCACACAAGAACGGATTTTTAAAATACAAACGGTTTCAGTACTGGAACTTAAACTGAAGGCGAAACTAATGAAAATTCGACATTCGGCTTCAGAAATCGCTAAAGAAGAGTTAATGCTTAATTTGTTTTAAATATGCAGGTAATTAGAAACAGGTTCTAGGAGCCCTAGTTTCGCAAGTTTGTTGCCACGCCCACGCTAACGCCAGACAGACATAGCTAGTATTCCTGATCAAGAATATATATACTTTACAGAGTCGAAAACGCTTCATTCTATCTATTACTCACTTTCCGACGAATATAGTATACCCTTTTACTCTACGAGTAAGGGTAGACC